GGGGCAGTTCCATGAGCATATGACAGCCATTTGACAGAGTGACCTTTGTGAGTTGCCTCATACATTCTGTTAGCGATTGAGAAACAACTCAAAATCTGGTATGTAATGGGAAAGGCAACCAATGGTAGTGTTTGTCTGAGAGCTTTCTTATAATCCAATGACGTTGTGTTTCTATATGCTCTCTTGCATAATGTTACCGCAATAGCTAAAAGTGCAATATTATTAAAAACCAATCCAACGATCAGCTCTCCATACCAAACTGCATATTCTTCAATGACTCCTTCTTTGTTCTGTGTACAATCTTCATTATACAGTCTTATCCAGCACCAAGAGCCAGATATGCCATAATTGCTATGCACAAATGGTATCCACACAATAAATAGAGGAAATATCCACGGAAACAATAAATAAAACGGCTCCATTTTAGTCAATTTCTGGAATAAAGATGGAAAAAGGACCATACTCGTCAGATGCAAGGTCACCATTAAAGTGGCAAGGAGCATCACCCACGCAAAGTACATCAAAAGAAATCCCTCAGCAATACAATCATTGGCATACTCTTTGTTAAGCAAATAGTCGCGCCACAACGCAAGGAGTTGGATAGCTACCAGTGATGAGTAGCACATCACTGCTATGAGCATGTACAATAATAGTCTGTGTGTCAGGAGAGTGAACAGCCTGAAAAAGATCATAGCAGCAATGGCAACTGCACAAAGAAACGCACAAACGGAGCCATCAGTGGAGCACAGGATCAGTATATATCTCAGTTCCTTTACAGAAACGTTACAAAAAGTTAGGTTATCTTCACTCTGACGCCCATCCATTGGTACCGCTTTCTTTCTGCTTCGTTAATTAGGCTTTCAATTGGGCGGTGTAACCACGCCTTGTATGTGAAAGGTGTGTCGAGGTGTGTCTTATAATGGCTATCTCTTCTTCTCTTATTTCTCCTCTCTTGAGGCAGAATGCAGCCATTCCCTCACTCATTCATGTCTTCTCAAGTAAGACCACGTGCCTTCATTCATTATTTCCTCATTTATTCTTTTACAGGAACACTTAGAACCAGCTCGGCCTTCACTCTCAAATCAAGTATGATTATGATGTAATATTACATATTATTATTATTTTTTTTTTTAAAGGCCAGCAATTTGATTGGAGGGATCCGCTCAATCTTGAGGTGTGTCTCAAAGAAGACGAGATCATAATGAGGTGAGTATCGGTAGATCATGTGATCTGAATGACGCGTTGCCATAGAGACCAAGTGAGACAATACTGTACTGAGAAACTAATGCCGAGGGTACTGGAAGCAAACAGATACGAAAGTATACTAATAATATACTGAGATATACTAATAATATCCTATTAGAATTCGACACGAGTATTGTATCCGAGATGG